TCTTTAACTCTCATCCCCATACAAAATCCCTAAACATCCATTCTATTCAAATTCCCCCCCTTTCCATTCAAATTTTTCCTCCAACCCTTGAATTAACTCCATGTGGGGCCCGCCTAGAGTAAGTAAGGACCGGAGGGGCCCGCCTAACAGATTCCAACTAACCTCTTTTAAAAATAAGGATAAAAACAAAATGTTTAAAATAAAATAACAGGAGAATTTAGTGATGAAAAACAAATGTTTAAACGATGTCCTAAATGTATTCAATTTAGGGACCCCTAAAAATAAAAAAAGCTCATAATCTGAAGGACAAAGAGGACCAGAAAGAACAACAAATAGGCGATGGATAAATAGGAAAATTTAGGGATTATATAATCTGTAGCTAACTAGCAGTCTTTCTGCAGAAAATTCCACGAGGTTAGACAGATTTACCTTCGTTTGTGAATTAGGCGACAAAGCTGTAGAGAGCGGAGAGACCGGCTACTGTAAGGAAATCGAACAGAGGGTTGCTGGGTGAGTTTGGCTGGCGATAGATGCTGCTGTTGGGAGCAGGTCACGTGATGGAGGCTGCCTTAGCCGCCGCCGCCGCTGCTGCAGTTGAGGAGATGAGCTTCGGTGATATGACATTCAGAGGTCACTCCCCTCTTGAATGAGAGGGAGTGGTTATATATTTGAGTTGGTGCTTATAGGAAATCTCGATCTCAAATATAAGTAAAATTTTAGAAAAAGGGTGAAATCTAATTATATATTCCTCCTAATAGTTACTTGGTTTCTATGACGAAAGCCTAGAACGTGCCGCTTTCTATTCTTTATCCCTTTAAATAGCTGCTTTCATGTTTCATAATAAGTACAATTAGCGACATTTCAATGGGCTTTACCACCTTCATTTATTCATTGCTTAATATCTCATGAGATGTTAAATTTTATTGTGCTTTACACCTGTAAAGGCTTTTTGTTTTTGTAAAGATGACATTGAAAATTAGATGCTTAATTTTCGCCTTGATAATTTTATTCAATTAACTTGTACTTCAGATACCCGTTCGGCCATTTAGACATAATGAATACGAGAGATTTATCCCAGCTGCCTTCCCCTACTATGGAGCGTCATTTTCAACTGTAAGCGTGTTCTAAATTCACGCTCATGTGCTCTTATTTTCATAAATTCTTTATTTGCCTTTCCCTCGTATTGTAACTATGTTTCCATCAAGCTGGAATGTATCGTCAGAGAAGAAGCCTCACTCAATTCACACATAAAATGTTTTGCCTGAGGCTTCGTTTGGGACGACTTTCTTACTTCTTCTTAAAATATTTTTCTAGTTCAAGAATTAAAATTTTAATACTAGAAAGCCGTTTTAAGAAGCAGTAAGAAAGCCCGTCCCAAATGAAGCCTTGTTTGGGACGGCTTTCTTACTGCTTCTTAAAATAGCTTTTATTTTTTGTCATTTGGGATGGCTTTCTTACTGCTTTTTAAGGCAGCTTTCTAGTATAAAAAATAAAAGCTGCTTTAAGAAGCAGTAAGAAAGCTGTCCCAAACAAAGCCTAAATCTGTATCATGTAACCATTGCTTGAGATCATTTTTAATGAGGATTTATAAGCATGAAACTTTTTCCCTCCTTGCAGATGGCTGGTTTCTTCATATTCACAATTGTTTACCTCTACAATAAATAGATTGCTTTAGCCCAGTGGAAAGTGCTGCGGCAGATTTCTAATAGAGCATTGAGGTGATGAGCATTTTAGCACCTTTTAGTTTGAGCTTTAGGCTTGAATTGTTTTTTTTTTTGGTAAAATTTTGGACAAGTTTACGCGCAACTTATTTAACAGCTTTTTAATATATCTTAATGGCCCCTGCCTTGTCTTCTTGATAAAATCAAAGTTGTAATCCTTAGCACTTCTAATGAATGAAGTTACTGCTCCAACAGTTCACATTTCACTTCCTGCTACCTTCTGAATCAATGTGGAAGCATTTTTCGTGATCCCTTGCGCTGGTTCCTGACCCCATTGACTCAACAAATGGGTTGAGGTACAGACCTGCTTTCTTCTTGTATTTTTAGGCTTCGTTTGGAACGGCTTTCTTTCTGCTTTTTAAAGCAGCTTTTTAATATAATTTGTACTAAAAAGCTGCTTTAAGAAGCAGAAATAAAGTCATCACAGCTTTTTTATTGGTTCTTGAAGCAGTTTTTTAGTATAAAAATTAATATTTTTATACTAGAAAGATGCTTCTAACAGTAAAAAAGCTGTCTCAAATGAAGTCTTAGCATATGCAGTGATGCTGTCAGCCTAATGGTCTCTTAAGGTGCCATTATGCGTAATGAGGTGGCACTAGCAGTTTAACGGCAGTGGCAGCTTGTAGAGATGGTAGAGACGGTGATTATTGTTTTTAAAAATATTTAACATTTAATACTAAACCCTAAATAATAATAATAAAGTTTGAAAATATATTAAACAAACCTCTTTTTTATAAATTTTAAATAAAGTTAAAAGTGAACACAAATTTTTTTTGAGCAAATAAAATATATGAACATTATTTACTTATTTTACTTTAAGATTGCTGTTATGTTTCTTTGTGATTATATCCCTGTAAATAATCTTTGAGTATTTAATGGCAACACATACCTCAATAAATTAAAATCTAAAGATAGATTCAACTCTTCACTTAATCGAATAAATTGACATTCGTTGAAAAGTCATTGAAACTGATTAGTCCCACATCCATATAGAAATGCAATAAATTTTTTTATTGCATTATGTTATATTATTTTTTATTGTATAATAAGTTTGAATATTTTTTGAATATTATATGAACCTTATTCAAATCTATAATTTTTCTATAAATATCTTATTTGAATAATGTTTGAACACTGATTAAAAAAATATTTTAAATAAAAAAATAAGAATTAAAAATATTTGATAATGATTGAAATTTGTATCACATATCTCAACTTTCATCGAATTTTATTTGAGTGCTATTCGAA